CCTTCCGACCCTAAATCTATGAAACTATGAAACTATTGCCCCCACTCCTGTAGGGAGCCCCAGGGTGGCTGAGCTCAGGATTCTGCTTGGACAGGGGCAAGAAGCTCAGATTCTCTTTAGTAGGCTGCTCTTCCCCCATCAGCAGAGGTTAATGTGGTCCCCTGCCTCCCCCCCGCTGTTTCCAAGTCCTAGACCCCCATGAGTATGCCCTCCCAAAAAGGGGCCATGCCTATTACATAAACCTATTCCTAAAACTACACAATCAGTTCTGTTGTACATGACATATTGATTCAAACACCAAGAACATCTACCTTGCAAGCTTTTAACAAAGGTTGATTTTTGAACAAATACACAAAACTGCCTATCATATTAATAGGCTGCTACATTTAGATAATTTTGGAAGGTAACAGCCAAATTCTGCCTAATATGAACTAAGGTAACATGCTCTAATCTATGTGTCAGTGAAAGTGCAAGGGTACATGTGGTTTTCTTCTTCACAGATTTTGTCTGTTGGATTAGATGGCACAACTATGCAGTCCCTCTCTGGAAAAGCTAGATACAGTGACTTCTGTTGAACTTTTTGCTTACACTGGATTGTCAGGGTCCTAGAACAACCATATGAAATGGCTGGTGAGACTTACCTGAAGAAACTCTGCTTACATAAGGTGTATACTGACAACTATCTCCCTCTACTAAACAATAAAAGATAGTACATCTGCTCCTCAATCTTGCTTTGTTCAGATTCCTAAACCATCATGGCTGCAACAGCAACACCAGTGCAGTAACAGCAGCCACCTGATGAAGCTTCACAGGTAGCCAGACAGAGCAAACTAAAAGTTTGCATAAGACTTCTCACAACAATTCACAGATGCACAGTCTGGCAGAAATAGCCTGAACTCAAACAAGGTCTGATTTCAAATAGTTCTTCAATGTGATTTGCTTGTATACCTCCCTTCCTGAAAACATTTGTGCTATAGGTGGAAGCAATTACCTTTTGTTTCATACTGAAAATAAAATTTATATGAGCCTATTAAGTTGTTAAGAATATGCCCAGCTGCTTTGTCGGTTCTAGGTCCAGAGTACTCAATAGGATTGGTTCTGTTATTACAAAATCAATTGAGTTGGCTGGTACAGAGAAAACAGGGATATGCCTTCTT